TCATCAAGAGAGCTGGCTTAGTTCTGGGAGTGGACCTGCTGTCTCTGACAGGTGTCTGAGCAGAGGACGCTGAGGAACCTGCTCCAGACCAGAACAACACGTCACACCCCCTGCATGACACTCTGGACTCTTACCGCAGCACCTTCAGTAGACTGAGACCACCGAGGTGCTCCACAGAACAACACAGGATGTTCTTTCTCCTTGTGGCTATCAAACTTTTCAACTCCTCCCCCTTTCTGCACATAGAACAATAAAATTAATCCTGTACTACAAAAAACTCTTTAATGTTTCTGTCTGCACCTGTTTAGAACTTAATTGTTGGTATTTTTATATCCTCTGTTATTTTTTTTACATCTTGTGTGATTCCTTGTGTATGTTCCTTTATACTGAAATTCTGGCACAACAATTTCCTGCAGGATCAATAAAGTTATATCTTATCTTATTTTTATTTTACATATCAGATACAATAAACTTGCCATGTTCAGCAAAATATGCTACACATATTACAAATATGCTCGCTGCTTCTTGGGTGTCCTCTCAGCTGTGCTGTGAGTCAAGTATGCAGCACAGCCATGACTTGTAAGTAGTCTGCATGTGCTCTCTGCTGTATACATTGTACAACTACGCCATTTGCAAGTAAGGACACGACTGCTTCCAGCATTTTAGGGGTGAAAATTATAAGTGTTTATATCGGAGCATAATGGGCCAATTATCACCGATACAGATATGTCCCCAAACGCCTATACAAGCCTGAAATATTGATCCCTACTGATGTATCGGTCAAGCTCTAATAATAATAATCCCTAATATGGGGCAGCTGTGGCTTAGTGGTTAGAGCAGTCATTCTCCAATCTCCAATGCAAGAGTTGGGGGTTTGATTCCACAAGCAATCACATGCTGAAGTGTCTCTGGGCAAGACACTGAACCCCTCATTGTCTCCAATGTGGGTCCCATCAGTGCATGAATGTGATTTAAAGCTCTGATTATTCTTTGTATAAATATAGTAGCGTGCTGTATGAATGGGTAAATGAGGGCACAGATTGTACAGATTGGGAGAGGGTGGACTTAAGAAATCATCTCAACACCATCAAACTGGTTGACCCATTATGTGAAGGTGCTATTTATAAGACTGAGTTTTTTGTGGCTCCTCAGACTGATGAAGTCTTTCGGATGAAAGACGAAACGTTTCAACAAAAAGAAACTGCCCAGAGGACCTGACTGAACTTTGTTGGATTTTTCTACTTGGATTATTTGAGCATGAACCTTGATATTATGTGTGCAATGTTTCTGGCTGTTTATGATGTTTCTGAGTGTGGAAATGGGTTGTTCTTGTTAATGTTCTGTTCAGGTTTGCTTTGGCTTTTATGTTGATGTCTGTTATTGACTGTAAACTGACACCATGAGTCAGAGGTTGTTCCCAGTACATATAAAGGGGAAGGCCTGTGTGGTGTAGTAGTTGCACTGAAGAAACAAGTCACAGACTTAATCTCTGACCATGCATTGTGTCTTGTAAGACAATACCTGTAGTGTTGCGATGGCTCGTCTTAGAGCAGGGGTGTCAAAGTCATTTACAAAAGGGGGCCAAAATTGGAACCTTTTTCAAACTAAGGGCCAATTTCAGAGCCTACATTAACTCAAATCAGATACCAAACAAATTTTCTTGGTCACAGGTTCCTCAACAAGAGTTTGATTGGTCTCATTTTATGAGTTGTGCTTTCAATATAATCAAAGATTACTGAAAAAATTAAAGAGATACAAGTATTTTACGTTTCACATATCATCTTAAGGGCCAGATAAGATGTCAACAAGGGCCACATTTGGCCCCTGGGCCTTCAGTTTGACACACATGTCTTAAAACATTCTGCATGCTTGTGAAAATGTTGAAAATTGAAATGGTTACATAACAGAACAGCTGTCTGACTGGAATATTTGCTATTTCTAAAATTTTACATGTCTCACTTTTTTATGATTATTATTTTATTGTTTAATTATTGAATTCATTGGTGGGCTGGATTTATGTCAGTGGCCTGCAGGCTGCCAGTTGAATAGCCCTGAAGTAGAGGAATGGGTTCAGCACACAGCCCTGTGGTACACCTGCGTTTATTGTGATGGTGGTGGCGTAGGTGTGGCTGAGGTTTGTTGTTGAAAAAGTTCTTGACCCATTGACAGAGGTGAAGTATTAATGTCCAGCTCACTACATTAAAGACTAACTTGGCAGTTTTACTGTATTGAATACTTAGCTGAAATCAACAAACAGCATATGTTCATACAGGTCCTTCTAAAAAAAATAGCATATTGTGATAAAGGTCATTATTTTCCATAATGTAATGATGAAAATTAAACTTTCATATATTTCAGATACATTGCACACCAACTGAAATATTTCAGGTCTTTAATTGTTTTAATACTGATGATTATGGCATACAGCTCATGAAAACCCAAAATGCCTGTCCCAAAAAATTAGCATATTTCATCCCACCAATGAAAGACAAGTGTTTTTAATACAAAAAACGCCAACCTTCAAATAATCATGTTCAGTTATGCACTCAATACTTGGTCGGGAATCCTTTTGCATGAATGACTGCTTCAATGCGGCGTGGCATGGAGGCAATCAGCCTGTGGCACTGCTGAGGTGTTATGGAGGCCCAGGATTCTTCGATAGCGGCCTTAAGCTCATCCAGAGTGTTGGGTCTTGCGTCTCTCAACTTTCTCTTCACAATATCCCACAGGTTCTCTATGGGGTTCAGGTCAGGAGAGTTGGCAGGCCAATTGAGCACAGTAATACCATGGTCAGTAAACCATTTACCAGTGGTTTTGGCACTGTGAGCAGGTGCCAGGTCATGCTGAAAAATGAAATCTTCATCTCCATAAAGCTTTTCAGCAGATGGAAGCATGAAGTGCTCCAAAATCTCCTGATAGCTAGCTGCATTGACCCTGCCCTTGATAAAACACAGTGGACCAACACCAGCAGATGACATGGCACCCCAGACCATCACTGACTGTGGGTGCTTCACACTGGACTTCTGGCATTTTGGCATTTCCTTCTCCCTAGTCTTCTTACAGACTCTGGCACCTTGATTTCCAAATGACATGCAAAATTTGCTTTCATCTGAAAAAAGTACTTTGGACCACTGAGCAACAGTCCAGTGCTGCTTCTCTGTAGCCCAGGTCAGGCGCTTCTGCCGCTGTTTCTGGTTCAAAAGTGGCTTGACCTGGGGAATGCGGCACCTGTAGCCCATTTCCTGCACACGCCTCTGCACGGTGGCTCTGGATGTTTCTACTCCAGACTCAGTCCACTGCTTCCGCAGGTCCCCCAAGGTCTGGAATCGGCCCTTCTCCACAATCCTCCTCAGGGTCCGGTCACCTCTTCTCGTTGTGCAGCGTTTTCTGCCACACTTTTCCCTTCCCACAGACTTCCCACTGAGGTGCCTTGATACAGCACTCTGGGAACAGCCTATTCGTTCAGCAATTTCTTTCTGTGTCTTACCCTCTTGCTTGAGGGTGTCAATGATGGCCTTCTGGACAGCAGTCAGGTCGGGAGTGTTACCCATGATTGCGGTTTTGAGTAATGAACAAGGCTGGGAGTTTTTAAAAGCCTCAGGAATCTTTTGCAGGTGTTTAGAGTTACGTCGTTGATTCAGATGGTTAGGTTAATAGCTTGTTTAGAGAACCTTTTCATGATATGCTAATTTTTTGGGACAGGCATTTTGGGTTTTCATGAGCTGTATGCCATAATCATCAGTATTAAAACAATTAAAGACCTGAAATGTTTCAGTTGGTGTGCAATGAATCTGAAATATATGAAAGTTTCTTTTTTATCATTACATTATGAAAAATAATGACCTTTATCACAATATGCTAATTTTTTGAGAAGGACCTGTATGTGTTATTGCCCAGATGTGTGAGTAGAGAGTACAGCTCTATGGAGACTCCATCCTCTGTACTTCTAATACAGCAATAGGCAAACTGATATAGGTACAGAGTGGGTGGTAGGCAGTTCTTCAGGTGTGCTTGGACCAGTTGCTCAAAACCCTTCATAACAATGGGTGTGAGTGCTACAGGACGGTAGTCAGTCAGGCATGCTGGGCTGGAGCGTTTGGCACTGGTACAATGGAGGTGGTTTTAAAGCATTTTGGTACAGTTGCTACGGGTGAGAGACTGAAGATATTTGTAAAGACTCATTTGAGCTGCTCTGCACATGCTCCAATGCATGCCCCAGGCTGCCTTCTGGTTCAGCAGCCTTGCATGTGTTGATCTGACAGAATGGTGTAGACTTCTATAGAGGTGAGTGTGAGGGATTGGTGGGCTACAAAGGGTCTGTTCTTGGTTGTGTCTTTCAAAGCAAGCATAAAAGTCACTGAGCTCATGGAGTTACAGACGTGTTCCTCTACCTTTAGCTTGTAGCAATGCTTGGTTTTATGATGCCCCTTCTCAGGTTCGCTGTGGATATGCTGTAGGCCTGTGCCTCACCTGATCTGAAGGTGATGTTTCGGGCCTTCAGCAGAAGCCGCACCTCCTTGTTCATCCATGGCTTCTGATTTGGGTACATGGTGATCTGTTTCTTTATGGCTACATCGTCAGCGGTGGTGGTGATATAGTCCAGCATTGAGGAGGTGTAAGTGTCAATATCTGTGTGAGTGCCAAAAGTAGTCTGTGTAACAAACATACTCCAGTCTGTATACTGAAACCTGTCCTGAAATACAGAGTCTGTTCCCACTGGCCATACTTTGATGGTTGTCATTGATGGTTTCACACGTTGGATAAGTGGTGAGTACTTAGGAACGAGGAACAGAGAAAGGGGATCTGACTGACTCAGGTGAGGGAGGGAGGTCGCAGTGTAAGTGTCAGCAATGTTCGAGTAAATATGAGCCAAAGTTTGATTTCCTCTTGTATTGCAGATGTTCTGGTGGAATTTCCACTCCAAACGGCTCTGCTTCACAGTTGGCATATCACTGAGGAAACCTGGTACTTAAGTATGCTCCTTTGTTTTTTTGTTTCAGTGCAGCCATGGGACACGGAGTGGGCTGAACCAGAGGGCCTACCAGAAAACATCTGTGGTAAGAATAAAAACTAATCTCCTTATTTGCTCAAATGTATTATAAACAGCTGTCTCACTAACGGCTCAGAGTTGGAGGCTGGAGTCATTTCCAACATCAACACACACACTACATGTTCTGTTTGGTGAAAATGTTGGTGCACGCAGACTGTTTAACTCTGATCACTGATGAAAATGGTTTACCAGCATCAAAGACATGAAAAGAGTTGAAGTCATAATCAGCAGCAGCTGTCATTCAATTTGTAAAGGAGATAACATACACTTTCAAGAATCCAATAAAGAGAGGCAGGTGATCAAAGATGGAGCATCAGAGAAATGGAATCATTCCTGCAGGAACAGAGGAAGATGAAACATCAGCACAAGCTTCAGGGTCAGCAGATCACTTTGTCACAAGTTTTGGAAGTTATAGCTCATCTAAAAGCAACAAATATTTTGTTGTAGGTTACATTTATGCTCAACAGATCTTAAGCTTCATTTTATTTAGTTATTTTGGGAAACTGCACCTGCACTTTAGTTTTTGTCAGCATGAGGGAAGAGGCACCTTTAGCTTTTTAGCTAGAGCACCTGTATTGCACGCTGCTAGCTTAGCACGACATGTTTGAGTTGTGCACTGTTTATAGACAGTTTTTGAATGTGTGTGGGGGTTCATCTTGAGCAACGTGAACACTGCCTTTAGCTTTTAAGCTAGAGAGCTTGTATTTCGCACCGCTAGCTTAGTGCTATGTCAGTGCCGGGTGGGGGTGGGGGAGTTCGCTTTGGTAGGCGGGGTGCTCAGTTCTATTGACGGGGTGGGGCACCCCGCCTATATAATGGTAGGGGAAACACTGTATGTATGTATACGTATGTATGTATATATGTAAACCGGCCACTCCTATTGTTTGAGGAAACTGCTTTCTAGTTTAAAAATAGTTTCCTCAGATGATTGTTGTTGCTGAAGATCAATCCAGTGTTTCCCCTACCATTCTACAAGGAGGGCGCCCCGCCCTGTCAACAGAACCGAGCTCGCTGTCTACTGAACTGTCCTTGCCCACCCCGTCAACAACTGCCGGCACTGACGTAGCGCTAAGCTAGTGGCGAGTAAAGGATGACACAGGAGTGGATTTTCACTCCTATCCTGGTCCCCCAGAAAAAAATCCTGTCCTGTCCCACTCCTGGTAACATGACTCCCACTCCTGTCCTGCTCCTGTTCAGAATCACTCCCACTCCTGTCCTGCTCCAGTTTTTTTCTCGTCATTTAATTTTTAGGAAATACATTGAATTTGATTTGATCTTCTACCCATTCCTGTTTAAATTACTTTGTGTTGTGCAGTTTTATTTCAAAAGATATGGCAACAGGAACAGTTCATCTGTGGTGAAATAGAGACATTTATTGCCTTAATCCAAACAAAAACCTTCACTAAAGGGCACAAAACAAATAATCCATGGCCTGTAGTCCATATAATTTTTCTATGGAGGATCAGCTGCTGAGTCCCTGTTTCTGGCTCTTTTGAAGGTCAGTTACAGTAAAAACAAAAAATCTAAACCAGTCCATGGGTCACCCCATGTCTACCTTAGATGAAAGAATACAAACAAAGCAAGTTGCGTTTTACTAATTTATTGAGCAATTGTTTCCATTAAACAGTGACATTACTGTCATTTTTTTAATTGTTTAAACAGACAAACAAAAAAAGAAAAATAATGTACCAAGCAGAGAACTCGACAAATAAAAATGTTTAAAGTCATTATTATACATTGAATGACGTCCTCAAGAAGTTCAGTCCATGTGGTCGAGGTAACGAGCTCGTTTGGGTGAAGCATGATGTCGTGCATCTTACCAGACTCATTTACATCATTTACAGACTGGACCATCGCAGGTCTGGTGTTCCACCTCATCTCTCCACAGCTGGACCAGTCCAGAGCCTTGTGGAACCTAAAAGTGAAAGAAGACAGTGCACGAGTCAAAATAGTGTTACCGTGACTACAAATTACAATCTGTTGGTCTTTCTTTTGGAAAAAATATTTTATCAAAAACAAGAGATTTATAATTGAAATTAAGTCAAGAAAATGTGACATTTGCAATTATAAATTACAGTAGCTTATTTTTTCTTTATTTATTTCACTTATCATATTTTATAATTATTTAATCAGCCTCACCAGGCAGAGATTACAAGAGTTTATGTATCTTACCTGCTCTTTTGACGTGTGTGACAAGGGTCTTTGTGTCCAAAGCTGTTTAGCAGTTTGCTTCCAGAGCTAACAGCTTCCTATGTTAGGTAGAAAAATTAAATGAAATTAAAGACAAACAAAAAGCTTATTGCTACTTCTTGTGCCGCTTTATAAAACAGTTATTGAATCAAGTATTTACTTATGTAGGTACACATATTAAAACCTGTTAAAATACACCAGAATGCAGGAAATAGCAGCTGCTTTATTCAAAAAGTTATGGGGGAGGACCCACAGACCTCGCACCAATATGTCCCCACTACAATAAATCTAATGTTAATACACACTGTGTGGTTCAAGCCGAGAGCCATTGTCAACACTGGGGGGTCTAAGGCCCCTAAAAAGGGCTTCTAGAATCGCCCCTGGTGTGAAGAAATGAACTGAGAAAAATCAACTCTTGGCCTAAAATTTAGCACAACAACATAATTGTACACATCATATCTTAAATCTAAAACTAAAACGGTTATTATAATATATATGCAACCAGCCTTTCATATAAAAACTGGGATATTTTTACCGGATAATGTTTTCACTAAGAGTTTGTTGTTGTACTGACATGGCTTGTGGTCGACGGTAACTATTTACTCAATAAAGTGATGGTTATTCACGTTTTACTCGACTTCAGTATCCAGCAGGATGTCACAATATAAAAATAGGAATATTTTTACCGGAGAATGCGTGCACTTTAACCAGGAAGAGTTCGGTCTTTCTTTTTTTTTACATTACAAACAGCAACAGATAATGGAGATTTTAACCTAAAACCCCACATAACAAAGCAGAACATAATTTTTAAATTAAAAGGGACAAGGTGGAGAAAAATGCGCTGTTTGAGTCTGTTTATTTACTGACGGTAAACAAAGCAGCTCCTCACAGCTGTGACTAAAGTTTTAAGGCAGCACAGCACCAACACAACTCTCGTGAAGTTCAGGGTTATTTGACACTTTCCTGCCTGTTCTGTGATTTTAATAGACAGTTACTTCTTACCTTGCGTTACAAACTATTTTCTGTTCCTCTGTAACGCTTCGCTGCTCCTCCCACCCTCTCAGTGAAAAGCTAGGTTGGAACAGTTGATTTATGGGAAATGTAGTTCTTTTGACTTGTGTTAAAGTGAAGGCTTACTGAAAGAAAACTACAAAATAGCTGCGCCCGTTTTTTTTTGTTTGTTTAATTTTCATTATTGGTTATTGGTTGGTTCCCGCTCCTGTCTGCTCCCGTTAGCTTTCAGTCCGGTCACGTCCAGGTCATGAGAGTTATAATGAGGTTGACTCCGGTCCCGCTGGAATCCGGCTGGAATCACGTGACCCGTGGTACTCCCAAAAAAATGTCATCCTCTAGTGGCGAACAATACAGATGTGCTAGCTGAAAAGCTACAGTGATAGCTCTACGACCTTCCTTGCCTCCACTTAACATCTGTTGGCACAAACAGCGCCCCTCCACCCCCCGTCCACAAAAATCACAGAAGAGAAGCTTCCTACCAAGGCAAGTAACCTAGGGCAAGCAATCTATGATGGTCAAGCCCTACCTCCCCTCCATTGCACCTGGTGGTGGATAAAATGTGTCCCTCCACTCGCCAGGATCCATCACTCTGCTTTGCCTCAAACAAGAAAATAATTAACTACCTCTGTTCTTCTCCACAGTGTAACTCCTACCTTGAATATCTTGCACCACAAACATTTAGGTTTACTTTATTCCCTGTTCAGTTCATCTCCATAACTAAAACCATTAAAAATGGTTCTATTTGTTGTGTTCTCCAGGCTTCCCAGTGTGGTTTATGACATGGCCACGGCCTCATCCAGAGCAGAGACGAGCCACAACCACAGACGCACGTCGCAGCTCGATGCCATTGGTGAGTCACGATAGGAGACAGATTCAGAAAGCCAACATGTTTGTAAGTCTTACCGCTTCCTTTGCTTGCTCTCCATCAGTTTCCTGTGCCAAGCTCAAGAGGAAGAGGAGTGTTTTCGGGGCTGCTGTTTATGTGGAGGTGACAGCAGAGGGAGAGAGCCACCGCACAGCAAAATCTCACAGCTCCTGCAGCCCTAAATGGGATGAAAGGCTCACCCTGTAAGAAGCATGACTTTATGTCTGCCTTCTGCTTCTTTACCTTTATTCAATACTTTTATTGGAGACTGCTTAATAAGGCAGCCACCTATTATTATCCACCTGACAAGGGTTTCTTAACTTTATATCTTACTCTTCCATCAACTTTAATGCAGCCTGAACCGCAACTTGTACCCCAACAAGTATTGTATCTAAACGACCAGCTCAGCACTGTGATGTGTGCTATTACTTTTATTGGTGTTTTGAGTTACCATGATGACGTAATTTACAAACAAAGACACTAGTTTTATTAGTCATTTTTCATACACTCTGGTTGCAAATCAAATATCCAAGATGGCCTCTTGAGCTTAAATGGAAAAATACTATAAAATAGCCATCTTTCGAGAAATTAATCTGAAATTTGGTGTGATAGCTGAGACTATTACCCAATAAATAATGAATTAAAATATTCAAGATGGCCACCAAAACTCATTTTAAATGGCCTTAACTCAGATATTTTTACACTCAGAGCGAGCTGAGATTTGGTGAGGTTATAGCTGAGAACCTCCCCCATCACTTACTGAATCCAAATAAAAATCCAAGATGGCCACCATAGTTTAAAAGAAAAAATGACTAACTCATTGACGTTTTTCCATATTGAGCTGAAACTTGTTATGGTGGTAACTGAGAGTGAACCTGAACATATAGTACTGTTAAATAAAAAAATTAAAATGGCCACCACGTGGCAATCCTCGTCAGAGTTTCTCCAGGAACTTTCTAATTTCACGTAATGTTTTCTAGAAAAAAAAAACCATCTCTCTGGCAAACAGCCCGACCATATTTCAGACACAAGTCATTGCAAACACCAGTTGTAGTTACTGCAGACAAGACAGACTGCTGCTGCGTTAGTGTTTGCACCTCAGAGGCTGTGGAAGCTGCTGCTGGTCCTTCTCATGACTTTCAGGCGGTAACGTTACACCGAGCAGCTCGGCTCCAGACAACGACTGCATTGTGCTGTTCATTTTGTCTGAGGGGGGGCCTTATATGAGGTAGGTTTTATTTCTCACATCCTTTTTCACTGGCAGCAGTCAGTGAAAAGTATTAAAACTAGAAGCACGAGCTTAGTATAAAAAGTTTTGTTGTTGTTGTGTGAGGCTCTTCCTGAAAGACAAATATAGTTTATAATGAGTTAAGATGTTAAAGTCTAACATGGTATTTTCATTTGTCTTTTGTGTTGCTTCTCTTTGTAAGAGTTTAAGCTAAATAAGCTTCTGCAAGTTTATTTTTAGATCTTCTCAAGACCCGTCACTTGGTGTTTCATGGCCCACAGTGGAGTCCAGACCCCAACTTTAGAAACCACTGGTGTACAGGTCCACCAAGTAGCATTAGCACGAGCTGCCATGAGATGTTTTAGAGGTTGGAGTTGTTTTAAAACAGCCATCAGACATAAACTTTGTTTCACTAAACTAAAGTTTTAAAAATCTATCTATAAGAATTCAGGGTTCTTTATTTGTCATACGCACCACATGTGGTACATGTGGTGGAACGAAATTATGTACACGGGGTCCCAGTTACATCCAACAATAAAAATAAAATTAAAGAAAGACAGTAATAAAATCTAAGATATGGATTAAAAAATATGCTAAACTAAAAGTACATTAATCTGTAATAGTACAAAAACAATACATTGAACAGCTGCACGAACATGAGTCTGTGTGAGCAGATGAGCACGCATGAACGCAGCAACATGAAACAGATCAGCAGCAACATGAAACAGATCAGCAGCAACATGATGTGATTTTTCACAGTGATTATTCTGGTTAGAGATTCATGAGTCTAACAGCCTCAGGGTAGAAGCTGTTCCTCAGTCTAGTGGTTCTACAATTAATGCTCCTCAACCTCCTTCCTGAGGGGAGCGGGGAAAAATGTGTGTGCAGGATGAGTGGGGTCCTTCATGATGCAGGTGGCCCTCTTCCTGCATCTGGAGGTGTAGATGTCTGTGATGGTGGGGAGGCTGACTAACAGACTTCTGTTCAACCTTCACCACTCTCTGCAGAGCTCTGCAGAGAGTGGTGAAGGTAAGAATGTATCTTCAAAGATGCTTACTGTATGAAGTTTACAAACTCTTCTGTTGGAAACTGTTGGTGTAGAGAAGAGTCCTAAAAATCTATAACTTCTTTCTGTTTTTTTTTGTTTGTTTGTTTATTTCTACACTTTTGTGCTGGGCCAAATGATTGTTATACTTGCTATTGTGATCATACTTGTGTTATTTTTGTGTGTTCCTGGTTTTGTAGGTCTGTAACGCCACACACACAAGTGGATTTCAAAGTATGGAGTCACCACACCCTGAAAGCAGACGGCCTGCTGGGAAAAACCACGCTGGACCTGAGTCAAGCTTTGGAGCAGCACGACAGAAAACGTATGATGGAGCCACACCAGACAGAACATTATGACGTAGAAGCTGCTGGGGGTTTATAGTGGGCATTAGCACGCAAGATTGTGGGTGTTTTGTACATCACAAAAAAGGTTAAATCAGGTCATCTGGACAGTTTCTTTTTGGGTGAAAGGTTTCGTCTTTCTTCTGAAATACTTCATCATTCTGTGGCCTGACATGATTTAACCCCCTGAGGTATTTTGTATAATTTCCCCAAATCCTTAAAATGTAAAACTGGCATCGCAGCAGATTTTCACACACGTTTACCCCGAGCTTCTCTGAGGATGCTCCGACAGCACAAGACATGGTACAGGCCGCAGTAGAGACTGCGGACATGTATTTTGTGATGGAGAGAGGCCACTGGGCTCTTGTTGGCATCAATCAGTTGCTCTGTGTTGTGAATAAAAATGAAGTTTGGTGCAAATGAGGCCAGGTTAGGAGTAAAAACAAGTTTTCTCCTTTTGCTGTATTCATACTCATCAAGTGTTTCTAAGACACTTGGTTTGTGAAAAACCTGTAGCGTTTGGAGCAAAGCATTTAGCACAGCTCCCAGCACTGGGCAGGACAACTGGGAGTACAAGCGACTTCTAAATTAAAGGCTCTGTTTTATAGTGATTCTTTCAACCAATCAATGAATTGTGGACAATAAATATTAAATCTGTTTTTTTCTTGTTTTTTTTTTAATGTATCCAAAGTGAAATTAAAGCAGTGGGAATTTAACAGATTGTTGAACCTAAAACTTTAGTTTTGTCTGTAAACTACAAGCAGCATAAACCTAAATCAACATTCTGAGTTTTTCCTTCTAACACAGACACGGGCAACTAATGGCCAAAGGTGGCCCTTGGGCATTCTCCATCCAGCCCCCAACTGCCTTAATAAAAAACAACAACACAACTTTTAAATAAGTTGATGAAATTCTGCATTTTATCAATTAAATTCATCCTTCAGGTGCACAAACTCCACCACCACGATAAGGTGGAGATTCAAGGAGGAGAGGAAATTCAAGGAAGTTTAAATTAAACATTAACAAATACATTAGATGATCCACCTTTGAGTCTAGCCCCCATGGTGCCTTGCGTGATTTAGGCACAAATTCCGGTGTGGACCAGATATGGCGTTTGTTTGTGTGTGAACAGTACGAGCTAATGTAGTTTTTCCAAGCATCGTGGATTTAATTTAAACATGTAGGAACACCACCTGTCAGAGCTCAAACAGGACAATATAATTATACCGCTGCAGACGAGGGATGGAGGACGAGCTGAAGAAGTGGCTGCAGATTACATCTACTAGCATATTTAGCTACATCTACTAGCAAATTTAGCTACATCTACTAGCAAATTTAGCTACTTCATTGACTCTGTTCTTCAGACGGTGAAGTGATGAACAACCTGAAAAGCTCTGAGGCGTGTTAGTATCTACACAGTAATAAGGTCGGTGGTGTTTTGTTAGAAGAGGTGGGACAGAACCTTATTTACCTTAAAGCAGACACAGAGTCCAGCCAAATGCTTAAAGTCCTCCATCACTGAGCTTGAGTGAAATTCAGAGAAAATCTTAAAACTGAAGATGAACAAATACTATAATACTGTGACCTCCATACACTTGAAATCATACCTGATATTCTTGTCACCTACACCGGCCTCCACCCTCATTTGCCCCAATGGGCCCTTGAGCAAGACCCTTAACCCCCCGCACCCTCCATCTGCTCCCCCTGAGCATCCTAGCTAGCATCTCTCTACTCCACACAGAGGGCTGTGGTAGCTTGGTGGTCTGTGGTTGTCATGAAGGACATCCGACATAAAAACAATCACCAAGTCTTCGTGCGTTAGTTCGAGTTAGTTCACTGAAGAAGGGAGCAGCCGAAAGAAGATGAGAGGCTAAAACTTTGTTTTAGCTGTGTTTCCAGAACTTGACAACCTTAAAGACTCCAACACTCAAACATGTTTTTTTTCAGCTAACACAAGAGCCAGTTTACAGAAAGTATGTCTTCTATTACTAAAGAGTGTTGGAGACATTTTTTTTTTCAAGCATGCTAATAACTATGCTACAACAAGAAAAAAAAAAACGAAATTGTTCCAGATTATCGGTCTCTAAGAAATTGTATTTTCCAATTCTCTGCGGCCCTTCGATTGCTTTAGCTGTCTTGATCCTCTGGACAAAATGTTGCCAGCCCTGGTCTAGCAGGAGTGACCAGATGTTGTGTTTACATCAAATAATCCACAGCACCCACCAACCATGCCCACAAAATGTGGGTATGAGACCTTTATAAATGTTTAGTGGGACGCTTTACTCTTTAAATCGGGGGTGCCCACACTTTTTCATCATGCAGCGCCTTTTAAAATGACCAAGTCAAAGTGATCTACTACATCCTCTGGAAACATTAGTTCTTTTTCAGTTTTTATTGGGGGTAATAAAAAATGAGCAGGTTTACACGGAAATGCAGTAGTTTCCATGTTAGTCGGGTTGCCAGATAAGAAATTATGAACTATAGTACTATGGCTCTAAAATTAAAGTATTTTGACCTAAACTGTCATATGTGCTGAGTAAAGATATTCTAAGATGAGGTGTGTGTTGTGTTTGTTGAACATGTGCACAGAAAAGGAGGGGTAAATAAGACATTTTAAATTTATCTGGCAACCCACATCGTGCATGCATCGTCTGCATGACCACAGTTAGTCAGAACTGGTGAATCCACTAACGTCTCTTTGGAGCCTGGATTTTATTAGTTTTGCTGAAAAAGGGTGAGCAGAACAAAAACACTCTGCTCTCTGCCATTTATTATAACTATTGTTATTGATTATGACTGTTGTTATTTATTATAACTGTTGTTATTGATTATAACTGTTGTTATTTATTATAACTGTTGTTATTGATTATAACTGTTGTTAGAGCAGAAAAACTTTGGTCTGCAGCCGCCTGGAGTGAACTTCACACTTGGAGCGTTTCATACTTCCGTGGGGGGGGTTCTCCTAAAAATCTCCACTCAGAGACCTGGATTCAGAAACCTTCAGTTTCAGAGAGAATGAGGATGTTGTCCGTAAATGAATGGCCAAACGTTTTGGGGCCTCAGACTGGCTGCCTTGTCTGTCAGTCAAGGGACAAATTTCATAGATGATGATAGACTGATGTCTGTTTTTAATGCCATGCCATCTACTCAGAATACCTCTGATCCACTGGTAGATCACCATCGACATATTGGACACCCCTGCTTTAAAGTAAACTTTAAGCCCTCTGTACCATTTTTTTAAATACATTTTGACGGTATCTTCAAATTGACGTGACTGCCAAATATTTTCCACTTGTCCACAGTGCAGACCAAAAAGAAGCGTACGTGTTTGTTTTCCATCAAAAATGTCAGCAAAACCCGTTAATTACATTCACTAAATGAGAAGTACCAGTAGGTTTGGTGGAACAAGTGTCCTCACGTCTTGTTTCTCTTTGTTTGAATCTGTTGTTTTGCACCATCTTTGGTTTTGTAGTGGAGAATGCTAAAGAGGTCCTGAAGCTGAATGTGGAGCAGAAAGGGGTCCTGGTTCCTGTGGGGGAGCTGACCGTGTACCTTGATGGTCTGACAGTCACTGACCAGGAGGAAGTGGCGCCGCTGACCAACGGCAGCGCAGCAAACCTCACCAGTGAGTTTAGAATCATTGCTGTCGTCAATCTGACCTTCATCTGCGTCTGTTAATGGAAGTGTGGAGGAAACAAGAAAACGCAAACATTTACTCACTTTACATTCAGCCCTCGTTTTTGAAATTATTAATAATTATACTCTAATATCTCTAAATGTTCTGCAGAGTTCCAGCAGAATGGCGATGCTCTTCATGAAAACGGGGATTCATCATCCTCTTCCTCGAGGGCTGCCAACAGGTAGACTTGTGAAATGAACCGACTTGTGTTTTCAGTGACAGATGTTTCCTTTAAATCTAAGTTTCTGGCCTGTTTTGAAAGCACTTTATATGCTTGTGTGCGTGCGTGTGTATTTTTGCGCTTTGTCCACCCCCAAGAGTAAGAAAACATGTAGTGGAGTGGGGCTTGTTGATTTAGCACAGCTGTTAGTAACCATGAAGCTAAGCTAATTAGATCCACCTTTAATTAGTCTCAATGTGCTGCCTTTGTTCAAACACAGTAATAAGTTCATCACGTGAGTAAGTTACATGAATGAGGTGATAAATATATTCATAGTTAATAATTATTTTAAGTAAATTAATGCTAAAAACTATTAAAATGTTTTGGGTTTGAATTTCAATCAGAGTGAGACATCTAATCTTCATCATATTGTACGTGCAGTACGGAGGTAGTGAGTGCTCTCACCACAGAACAATCTTTGACGTCTTTTCCTCTGTAAAACAAGTGCTTCTGAAAACAAGGGAGAAAACAGCTCATATAAACGCTTGTGCCTTGGGAGACTTTTGTCTTTTTACAAATTCATAAATCAAAGGTTTTCAGTAAAATCCAGAAATCAAGACTCATCTGAGGACTTCTTTTATCATACCTGCAAACTTGTTGCTTTTTGGCGATATTTGCCAATTTCAAACTAGAATATGTCATTTGCATGAATCGTGTACATCTGAAGAAGGTGTTTTTTTCAGGGGGGGGGGTCCAGAGGTGTGGTGGATGGCATAATTTTCCTTTAAGAAACAGTTGCCGTAATTCTCAGGCTACAGAAAGTTGGTTACTTACTGTAACTCCAGATTCTGAGTATAGGCGCAGCCCTTTTAAGGCTATTGCTAGTGGGTTTATCCCTTCGCGCACAGCACTGAAAATTTTAGTCTGCGCCCACCGGCTGTGTGGGCCCCACCCCCGGTCCGTATAAATTACGGTGAGACCGGGAAATCGGCTCCCAAATAGATTTTTTCTTCAGCCATTTAGGAACCAGTGAGGCCCAGAGCTTAAAGGGCTGCGCCTATACTCATAGTATCTGTGATTACAAGTACATAACCGTTTTATTTCGTATAGGCTTCGCCCTTTAAGGCTATCGCTAGTAGGTTAAAGGCGAAGCAGGATCTAGTCTATGCCTCACTGGGTCCACTCAGACACAACATGAAGCACCTGCTTGCACACAAAAAATTTCATCACTCAGTCTTCTGTGTGCATAATTATGCACTTCGTGACACTTTGTGACCGGACAAAGATCTCTGAGTGAGGAAAAAGGCTGAGATAACAGACCTGCTGCTGTGAATAGGAACAACGGAGGTTACAAATTGTAACAGTGTAACGATGAACAGAGCAGGACAACAGCTCCTCAGGATGAACCGATTAATAATAAAATCAGCAGTCATGAACTTGTGACTGATAATAAATATCTCACACTGCAACTGCATGCAGGCAGGTGTGAGCTCAAAAGAGGCTTCGTGAAACAATTAATAATCATTCTGTCAGAACCCTGAGGACAGAATGGGTCATGGAGAAAGTAGAAACGTCACGTAGATAAAAACGAATAAATGAACACAGCGATGACCAGGCAGCCGCCATACAAATATCCTCCACTGTCATCCCTTCATGCAGAGCCATGGAGGATGAAAACCTTCTGGTGGAATGAGCACTGAGATTCGCTGGAGGATCCAGTCCAGATGAAATTTAAGCTTCAGAAATAGCCTCACACAACCAGTGTGAGAGGCACTGGGTGGATAGAGGGTGTCCTGAAGAGCTGTCCCTGTAATGCACGAACAGACGCTGAGAGCAGCGCAGTGCGGCCGTGTGCTCCACTTAACACGACAGCGCACGCACGGGGCAGAGGAGGTGAGATTTTGCTTCCTCCTCAGAATTATGAGGAGGTGGATAAAACCCATTCAAGGTTATCACTCTCTATCTGAATGAGCTTGTGATGCTTTTAGGAGTAAAAGCAGGGTTAGGACGCAGCACAGCTAAGCTGCCGTCGGCTTGAATTCTGAGACATGATGGAGCAACAGAGAGAGCAGATAAATCACTCACTCTCTTTGCCAGCGTCAGAGGTAACAACAGGGCTGTTCTAAATGACTGAAATTTAAGTAAAACCTGATCTAAATGCTCAGAATGAGCTTTGATCAAAGCGTGCAGGACCATCATTAGGTCTCACTGTGGAGCTAGTGGACGTGACACAGGTCTGTGTCTCCGTACACCTTTCAGAAAACGCTTCATCAGCGGGCGGTTAAAAACTGTGTTGTCACCGAATACCTCATGACAGGAAAAAGTAGCTGCAACATAAGTTTTAATTGTGCTGAACGCTAAATTTCTGTCCATCAGTTGCTGTAGAAATGACAGCACGCCTGCTAGTGGACATGAGATGGCCTTCACGCCTTTCTCTGCGCACCAGCGCTGAAAAACTGTCCACTTGATGTTGTACAGCTCTGTGGTGGAAGCGGCTCGTACGCCCTGAATACGTACGCACCACATCCTGTGGGAGGCCCATCTTTTCCAAACAGATCTGTTCAGCGCACAGACCCAAAGATGCTGACCTATTTCTGGGTAACTCCTGATCGCTCCTCCTGCCTGGAGGAGAGCGCCCCCCCCCCACACAGCAGTTTCCACAGCCGACCCGATATCATTCGGGAACCACGGGGCGCTTATACGCTCGGGAGCTACGAGGATGACTCATCTCAGAAAATAGTAGTAGTATTTCAGCAGTATTTAGAGCATTTAAGCAGTAGTGTCGTCCCCCCCCCTCCCCAAACCCCAATCCGGTAAACCCTCCACTCTGGTGATGGGGCGAAGGTGGAGACGGGTGCCTTCAGCTTGCCGGCTCAGCTGCAGCCCCGTTCCAGTATGACGTCACAGCTGGAAAGCGGGGCCAGATGGGGTCAGGGCGACGAGCTGAGGCGAAGCCAAATGTTCTCGCCAGATCATCCGATCGGGGTGGAGGAAGGAGAGGGACGGAAAGTCCCTTTGTGTCAGCAGCCTCCTGGATTATGTCGGGCAGCTCCAGAGGAGGGCGCCGACTACTGGGGGCGGTGTGGTCGCTGACGTGGGAAGACTCGAGGTGGCTGAGCATCCGCTCGGCCACTCTTCTTCCATCACTACGCTCTCCAGGAGGGAGGGAGCAGCAGGGCTGCTGCCATCATCGCCTTTTTCGGAGGAATCATCCGATTCACCGCACGGAAATGCATTAGAAAAGGTGATGGCTTTGTCCAGCGAGTAGCGGCCCGCCATGGAAAAACACTCCTCGGCACTTACCTTGAACAAGGCTGCTCGTCTCTGCTTCTCCTCGGGAGGAGCTCACGGGGACGGCAGGAAGTGGCGAGGTTGGCGTGGCAGTGACCCAGGCATCCTTCACAAATATTGTGCTGGTCAAAGCTTATCATGTAGCCGGTCTGGCAGGACGGGTACAGGCGGATGGTGCTGGACATCTTCTTCTTCATTCTGCAGTGCTAGCTGGCTGAAGAAAAAATGGGAGCCGATTGCCCGGTCTCGTCGTGATTTATACGGACCGGGGGTGGGGCCCACACTGCCGGTTGGCGCGGACTAAAGTTTTCGGTGCTGCGCGTGAAGGAATAAACCCACTAGCGATAGCCTTAAAGGGCGAAGCCTATACGAAATAGAACGCACCGGTCTCTAAGCCACGCATAGTAAATATATACTGTCTGTAATGAACTCAGCCAAGTTGGAAATAAAAATCAAGACGCAGTTTCATTAACCGTAAACTGACGATGTCAGCAGTCAGACTCATAACAGCCAGATTTAAAATGACTGTCCACACTTTGTTGGTGCTAATATATTGTTCAATAATAAAATGTGATGATTAAAATTTGACAGCATGTTTGTTCTGAACGTCACTTTGATCCAAGACCGAGTCAAACTCTCACATGGACGCATCTTGTTTCTGTTCAGATTATTATTGTGAAAGTTGAACTAAAAGAGGTGATTTTATATTTCAGTTTTTACACTTTTTGAGTTTGGATGTTGAAGCTCAACTAAAGAAAAGGAGACAAATGGTGCTTTTGTCTCAGGTTGCATTCAGCAGAGCTCCTAAAGACGAGGTTAATTTCCTTTAACTCCACCTCTGTTTGCCTTTTAAAGCACCGTGAACGGAACGGACTTGGGTCCAAGGTCAGGCTCTTGCTCGGTCTCCAGTGGGGCAGATGGTCAGGGGCCTTCCAGCTCCTGCAGCCTTGCTCCTGAGCACGTCGTAAATGGAGACATGACACCCAACTCCACCCCGGTCCACCAGCCCTCCGACAGCGATGCAGACAGCAGAATGAGTGAGTTTCTTATTCTACCAACTTCTTTAGCTCTAAAACATGTGGGAGTGGGACCTCTTCAAGGCTTTGCTTCTGTCGTCTGTGGCTAAACTCCTCCTCATGCTGTAGAAGTTCATTGGATGTGTACAGAACATTCTGTTTACAGGGACGGTGTCAGGGTTCTGTCAGTTCATGTTCTTCATGCTTCATGAGCTTGTGGTGATCAGTGGAGAAGTGCAGCAGCACGGTGGATCAGTTGGTAGAGCTGCCGCCTCTCAGCGAGCAGGTCGCTCCAGTTCAAATCCCAGCCGGGGACCTTTCTAGGTGGAGTTTGCTTGTTCTGTCTGTACATCGTGGGCTCCCTCCCACTGAACAAAAACATGCATTGGTAACTCTAAATTGTCCCTAGGTGTGAGTGTTGTGGTTGTTTGTTTGTTTGTCCCTCTGATGGACTGGAGACCTGTCATGAGTGTCCGCTGCCTCTCTCACAGTTACTGCTGGACATGGGCACCAGTGACCCCCGCTGCCTGAAAAGGAAGAAGCGAGTGGAGATAATGGGCGGATGAATGTTCAGTCTCTGCTGCTGTCTGTCTCCAAACTCCACGGAGACTCGGACAAAAGAACCAAAGTGCAGAAAACTGTGGAGCTGCTAAAAAGATTCAGTCTGGTCATTTGTGGTTTCTAAATATTTTTGTGTCATTTTTCTAAATGAAGCTTATCAGCATTTTAATAATCTGAGTCATTTCACTGAATTAGTGTAAACCAGTCTTTGTGTTTTCAGAAAGACGGTGCAGCCTCCTCAGGTTTATTGGAGACGTTGCTGTAAATTTAACTGCTCATTACCTGAAAGTTGTTTCAGTCTTTGTACCTCTGCAGTGCACTGAATGAAACCACCTTTGATTAACATGGACTCATTTTATTTGTATTTTATTGATGTATTGCTATGGAATTGTTTATAAAAACTAAATTGACAAGGAGTCCTACAACTCTTCAAAGCAGAGCATGCTTGTATTTGTTTGCTTGTTTTTTTCTGGGTGCTTCCGATGTTAGGGGTTGTCACAGCGAGCGAGCTCTCGTGAAAGATTTGGCCTTTGTTTTACCCCAGATGCCCTTCCTGAAGCATCCTGAGCTCAAACCTGCGGCCTAACCACTGAGCTACTACAGCTCTACAAAGCAAAGCTTTCATTGTTTGCATAAAGCACAGATGGGACAAAACATTGTGTCTTTGCTCTGTCCTGGCTGCAGTGACCAGGGAGTCCTGTGAGGCTGCAACAAGAGGTGAAGTGCTGCCCCCTGCAGATGACCATGAGGACTGCGCACCATCCGCCGCCCCACCGGGCGCTCAAACAGCACCAAACACCACCTCTTCATGCCCACCAACGTCCACACCTTCTCCAGTCACCTCTGACGCTGCTAAACCTGCCAATGGCACTGCTGCTGCTTCCACCACACACGCCTCTCCGGGCCCGGGGGCCACCGCCGCCACCACATCTTCATCTTCGTCCTCTTCCTCCCCAGCTCCAGGTGAACCGAGCGCTGCAGGAGCTGTGGGTGACAGCAGTGCAGCCGTGACAACAGACGGGGTGAAACCCAGACAGCCGGTCCCCAACGCTGCAGCCTCAGATCCTCTACCACCAGGGTAACATCCTGATGCTGCCGCTGGCATTTGAAACATCCCCACGCTTTGTAACAGCAGCGTTACGCAGAAACACATGAGCAGGAACTTTATGATTAAAAACATTTCTAAAAGAGGCCTAACTTAAAAAACCAGTGGAATGTACAAATATATATAAAGTTGAACCTTTGTCATGGTAAATAGTTTAGATGGTTCTGATTTAAGGGCACAAATTACACTTAGTAACTTTTGAATCACTATAAAAACATAAAATACTCATAAGACGATAGCTGCTGTCTTTTCTCTAAAGTTGACTAAATACCTTCTGATGGATTTTCAAGTAGTAGCTTAAGCAAAGAGGATTTGATGCCCTTTAGAGGGACAGTGAAGGCATCATGTCGTGATGCTTCCTGCTCTGAGCAGGAGCTGTGGTGTTCTCTAGCCTGTAAATGTGAACAACTGCTTTTTGAGTTAGCTATGACTTCAGATCCCCAAATAAGGTTACCGTTACAGAAAGTGACATTTTCCAACAAACGTCTGTTTAATACACTGCTCAGATGTCATAATAACCGGTCAGAATTTGTTGAGTTGTCATTTGGTCTATTGCAGGTGGGAGCAGAGAAAAGATCCACATGGGAGAACATACTACGTTGACCACAACACCAGAACCACAACCTGGGAAAGGCCACAGCCACTACCTCCAGGGTGAGTCTTGATTTTACACTTACTGTGTCTTTAGTGTGCTTTGATGCATCCTGTCTCCACTCATCATCCTTGAGATGTTTCTACAACTTAAATAGTGTCCACCTGTGGTAAATTCAGTTGATTCGACTTGATTTGGAAAGGCACATCTGTCTATAGAAGGTCCCAAAGCTGACTGCGATGTCAGAGCACGAACACCAAGCAAGAAGTCAGAGGAATTGTCTGTAGACCTCCTGACAAGATTGTGTTGTGGAACAAATCTGGGGAAGGATACAGAAACATTTCTGCTGCTTTGAAGGTCCCAGTGAGCGCAATGGCCTCCATCATTAATAAATGGAAGAAGTTTTGAACCACCAGGATTCTTCTTAGAGCTGGCTGGCCGTCTAAACCAGGGGTCACCAACCTTTGTGAGACTGAGAGCTACTCCAGTGGGACCGAGTGACACGAAGGGCCACTTGTTTGATACAAACATCAATTTGCACAACTCACCTTTAATGATAGTTATTCTGTCTAAGACACTCCGCCTGTTCTCATGTACTGGAAAACACCTGTTTGAGTTGTTGTGTGTTGTGTCAAGCTGATCATGGAAATGGTTCAAAAGTTGAGAAGGGCTACCTGGTTTTTATTTCCATAATAAGGTATTTGCTGATTTGTGATTTATAAATGTATAAATACATTTGCAAAAATTTCAAAAAGTCTTTTTTTCACATTGTCATAATGGTAAATGGACTGTACTTATATAGCGCTTTTCTATCTTATTTCAAGATACTCAAAGCGCTTTAATTATATATTATACAATATATATTATGATAATGGGGTGTTGTGTGTAGAATTTTGAGGAATTTTTATTTTTCCCATTTTGGAATAAGGCTGTAACGTAAAAGGTGAAAAAAGGAAGCTCTGTGAATACTTTGTGGATGCACCTTAAACTTCGGTAGGTGTTGCAATGGGTTGTAGAGTTCTCAACTTCTGTTCTAATGGAAAGCAGACTTTTTAACGTAATATATTTATTCTCGGTTTAATAGTTGAAATATTTATTCTGAGCTATATCGCTCTTCATTCTGCCAGGTGGGAGCGGCGAGTTGACGATCGAGGCAGGATCTATTACGTAGACCACAACACTCGCACGACGACATGGCAGCGCCCCACCATGGAGTCTGTGAGAAACTTTGAGCAGTGGCAGAGCCAGCGCAGCCAGCTGCAGGGAGCTATGCACCAGTTCAACCAGAGATACCTCTACTCTGTAAGACACTCCACCTGTTCTCATGTACCGGAAAACACCCGTTTGAGTTGTTCTAACAGCAAGTGTGTTGCGTCAACCTGATCATAGAAAAGGTTCAAAAGTTGAGAGCGGTGCCTAATTTTTATTTGCATAATGATTTGCTGATTTGTGATTCAGAGAGTGAGATAACTTCCAGGGAAAAAATACAAAGCTCTCACTGTAAAAATCAAGTTTGCTAAAGTTATTTATAACAAATTCAGTCCGGTCTGTGTCTAACAGTCTGTCAGGTATCAAGTCCGGTCTGTGTCTAACAGTCTGTCAGGTGTCGGTCCGGTCTGTGT